TCAGTCCCATAGAATTTGTTTTGATAACTTTTGATTTTGAAATTTTAGCAAAAGTCGTTATAACCAATTTATGAGATTGAAAATGAAAAGCGTGGGGCGCATGCAATACAAAGCATTATATTTAATTGACAATAGGCAAACTACATAACATAGACCTAAAATTTCTTCAGCGAAAGTACAAATTTGAGATCGATTTTAAGCGGTCGTTATTCATATATCCACATACATATGAACATATATTACCCTTCATATCAATTCAGGTGGCTATTATATGCGCCCCACGCTTTTCATTTTCAATCTCATAAATTGGTTGACTTTTGCTAAAATTTCAAAATCAAAAGTTATCAAAACAAATACTATGGGACTGAGAAATATTATTTTCTACTTTTTAGTCCATTTATAAAAGCGTTGTATTAAAAAGTTTTTTTTATATTATTAATTTTCTACTTTTTTGTCTTCTCTGTATAAAATTTTGCGATAGATATTAAAATAATTCAACGATATTAATAGAAAGGTGCACACACATGCATTTACATATGTATGTATATACAAACGAGCACCAATTAATTTTATTTAAAGAAATGGCGTGTCGTCTATTTCCGCTTTAGCAAACGTAGTACATAGGGCGACATCTAGATGTCATCTACCTCGCCCTATTCAATACAGATGTCGCCCTATGCACTATGCTTTTTTATAGGAACTTTGCAAAGCAAAGGTTTTATGGTGTCGGACACACAACATTGAAAGTTTCTGGATCCACAACATTGAAAGTTTCTGGAGCCACAACATTGCAAGTTGATAAAAGCGTTGTAAAAAGAAAGACTTCATAGCTCTATGTGATGGCATCTTGAATTAAATAAATAGAATAGTAGTCGAGTAGCTACCATTCAGCGGGTCTCGCGTTCAAGGACAGGTCAGCGAAGACTTTGTTTTTATTTTCTATCAGTTTAGCTTTTAATTAGATAAGCTAATAAAAATAGAGGGAATTCCGTCGTTTCTTCTTGATAAGGATATGCATTGCTTCTGTTCAATTTTACAAGGCTTTCAATCTGCGCATGCGCATATATTTTATTTTATTTTTTAAGAAATGTATACCTCTTCTTTGAAGAAATGGCAATGGAGCTTCATAATCGAAGGGAACGAAGGTTAGCGGACGCACAGGCACAATGGATCATCTACTATATGATTTTGGAGTCAGGTGGTAATTTTATAGATCAGAGATGACTAAGGGGGTAAGCACGATCATAGAACGATTCGTATACATAAAACTTATGAAAATATTAGCATTGCTAAATATTTTCTTTGCCACGAGTTAAGAGGATATATAAATTTTTAAAAGACTCAAATACCGCAAAGAAAATTAGTATATTTTTAAAATTTGCCAATATTTTGCAATTTTAGCGATATTGTGGAGGGCAACTAAGTATTTGTACTAATGGAGGTGACACTAAACATAATAATATTTTTAAGCATTTTACACTATGTACACTGGGCCGAATGAATAAAAACAAAGCAATCGCTTTTTCTTAAAATTGCATACCTTTTACTTCAATTTTGTTTGAATAAATCGAGTAAAGTGTAGGAATTTTTTAGAAAAAGCAATTGCTTATTTTTTATTCATACGGCCCACTATCACACTTGATAAGATTAAAGAGGTCGTATTTTACTACAGCCACTAATAGCTTAAAACCGAATTACCAACATTACAAAAGTTTTAAGTTATTAGCCATTTTGGCAAGTGTTTCAGTTTGAACTATGAACTCGAGTTCATAACGCACAATTTACTAAAAGAGAAAGCAATAAATATTTGTACAATAACAATAGGCAGCCCGAAAAGCTGCTATGATTAACAAATTTTTAAGTTAAGTACAATAGTCAGATAAAACTGTGTCACAGGCTGCCATGGAAAGTTACAAAAATATGAAAGCCATAATAGTTGCAAGCACATATGTACATTAGGGTGGCCCCTAGTTGTATGGGGAAAAACACCCCCTAGAAATGTGCGAATATCTTAAAGACTAAACTATTCAAAGTTTTAGGTCAATCACAAAAGATTTAGAGGTGGCTCAAAGCGCTCAAAGTTTATTTTTCGTAGAAATGGTGTAGAATCAGTGAATATCAATATTTTTCAAACGGCATACTCAGTTTCTCTTCAGGAGACTTCAAAAAATTTTACACAATTGGTTATTTAAAATTTGGTTAATATTAACGATTTTTTATGGGTTCCCCCATTGCATTTTTTCAAGTTTTGGGGGGCCCAAAGAAAAAAGTTAATATTAATAAATTATTAAATAAATTATTATTAATTTAAATAAATGATTTAGTGTTTTTTCTGAAAGTCTCATGAAGAGAAAAAGAGTTTGTCGATTGAAAAATCTTGGTTTTCTACCATATGAAATACATGGGAACTTTGAGCACTTTAAGCCAGATCTTAATCTTTTTTGATTGACCTAAAACTTTACGTAGTTTAGTCTTTAGGCTGTTCACACTTTTCTAGGGGGTGGGACCGAGAACCTGAGCTCTTTTCGAAATAAGAGCCACCCTAATGTACATACGTAGGTATCTCTTTTAGTCTCAAATACATATTAGCAGAGAACTTAGATAGATAGAGAAGGTGCAAACTGAAAGTGGAAACTATTCGCGGACGAAAAATTAACAGCGTTAGAAAAGTTCAAGTCGGAATGTAAAAATTCTGTTGAATTTAATGTTGATAACATAATACAATGTTGAGCAACATGAAATGTGATGTTCTTTGTGGGCAAATAAACGAAAATATGGTAAATCTTCACATAATTTTCATTAATTTGTAATTTTTGTTAAATTTTTATCTTGTTCTCCTTTTATGAAGATGCAAATACAATTTAAAATAATGATAGTTTGGCATAAAGTTTACACACATATGTACATGCATACATATACTGGCA